ATGATACCAGACACCTGGATTGTCATAATGTGATGTCTTGCATCTTCAAGATCTATCATTGCAATAGTGCAAGACTAATTGTTTTTTTATGCAAGCTCTAAATTTTTAAACTCCTATGCTATTTAAATAATTCAGAGTTTAGGAGAAGATAGAAAGCTCCCTGGCTCATTGTCATAAAGCCATCATAAGTCTAAAGCCATAGCCTACTTTAAAATAATATAGAACAATTGAAGATCACATTTACTTATGAATATAGGTAAGAAATTTTTTTTAAAAAGGTAAATCAAATCTAGTAATATATTAAAAGGACCAATATGACCAAATAGGGTTTGATCCAGGAATTTAAGAATAGTTCAAGCACTGGAAAATTAGAATGGAATAACTTTAAGAAATTGAATGAGAATAAAAACATAGTCATAATAGTCAATGCTAAAGAAGTTCAACTGGCCACTGAATGTTTAGAAACTTTATTTAAGATAGAGTGAATCTTCCCAAGATGTTGAAAGTTATTTCCTATAAATTAATGAACACTGAAAGCATTTTCATTAAGATTGGGAAAAGAGGAATCCCTTCTGCTATAACTAATAGTCAACAGCGATGGGTGGTGGTATATTACAGATAAGAAAAATAGATATTAAGACTAAAACAGATTATTACTCAAGTTGTGAGAATTTTCATACCTAGATAAGAGATTAAAATAAACTTGTTGAAACTAAAAAGCAAACTTCAGTAATTCATGGCATGTAATATAATACACAGAAACCCATAGCTTTTTAAAAATATACCGGTATTAGTCTGATAGAAATAGAAATGGGGGGAAATTCTTTTATAGATGTGATTAAAACGATCCCATAAAAAAAGGACAAACATAAATATAACAGGAAAACGCCAATTGCGATGCTAACCGTAGAACATTTTGAAATAATATGACATAAAGTGTGACCTAAATGGATGAGAAGACATGCCAGGGGCATGCAGGTGGTAAGACTTAAAAATACAAATTCTTTTCAAATAAATACACAGATTAAAAGTAATTTAAAAAAAAAATGTTTTTATTTATTTCAAAGAGAAGCGGGGGGGAGGAAGAGAGATAGGAACATCAATGATAAAAGAGAAGCATTGGTCCACTACCTGATACTATTGGGGATTGAGCCCGCAACATGGGCATGTGCCCTGACTGGAACGGAACAGTGACCTCCTGGTTTATAAGTCGCTGCTCAACCACTGAGCCATGCCGACTGGGCTAAAAGTGACTGTTATCATAATTCCATGCACACGTTTTTAGTTCATTAAAATGATCCTCATGCTGTGGAATAAGTGTGAGGCTTGTTGCCAAAAGAATCCTAGCAGGAAGGCCTCTTTTCATTGCTCTTTATCCCACACTCAGTCCTGCCCCCCCCAAATGCCCTTAAAGGGGAAGTACGGAGCTCAAAAAGGAATCGACTTCTAACAATGAAGAGGAAGGGGAAGGAGTCGCTAACACGTTAAAGGCTCGGCATATTCCTGGCTGTCAGAAGGAAGCCCAGAGGAGGATCCCACCAGATAGAGGCAGCCCGGCCCCAAACGCCCTTCCAGGGTTCGGGGGTGGCATGGTGTTGGCCTCCCCGCTCTGAGCCCCATAGCACCTCTGGCCTCAGGGAGGAGATGAAAATAGGACCATTTTCAGAAGCCTCTATATGGTCAGCTCTGCCATGGACCCTTCTAATGCTCGTCTCCAGTCTCCACATGCAGAAGACCCAGCAGCCCAGAGTGTGCCCCCCAAATTATGCCAGGACTTTTCCCTAAAGAAGTGGATGCTGAGAAGAAACGACCCCCTCGGAATGAAGCACTCCTGAAGTTTCTGAGGAGGGGAGGAAGTGGAAGGGAGGAGAGGCTGCCCTCTGGGGGGCTGCCAGGAGTAACTCCTTTAGCTCCTTGCTTCCCGTGATGTCCGTGCTTGGAGGATTTCAAAACCTGTGTCTTTAGCTGTGACCTGTCCCCTGAACTCATGCGCATGGGTCTACCCACTAGCTATAATGTCACTCTAAGAACATCTAAGCCATGGCGGTCCCAGAGGTGAATGATGACCAACATAAGTTTCTGGAGACACTATCATCTTGCCTTCCCCCGGCCTCACTGTCTAGACTGTTGTCCTGCAGTCATAGGGCCCCATGGCTCAGGCAGGGTCTGTGGACCACAATTCGGTGCTCGGACAATCTTCTCAAGACAGAGAGGAGTTACCGGAGGTTCTGAGCAAGAGGGTGATCGAGTCTAATCAAAATTTTTAAAAATAACCACTGGGGCCAAAACCAGTTTGGCTCAGTGGATAGAGCGTCGGTCTGCAGACTGAAAGGTCCCAGGTTTGATTTCAGTCAAGGGCATGAACCTTGGTTGCGGGCACATCCCCAGTAGGGAGTGTGCAAGAGGCAGCTGATGGAGGATTCTCTCTCATCGATGTTTCCAACTCTCTATCCCTCTCTCTTCTTCTCTGTAAAAAAAAAAAAAAAAAAAAAAAAAAAAAAAAATTTAAATAAAAATAATCACTGGGGCTCCTGTGTGGAGGATGGATTGTGAGGGGCACAAGCTTCATGGAACTTTGCTTATTTCCTGAATGACTTTCTCCAGCATCCTTCTCTCAGCCAGTGGCCGCCGACTCCATCGGCATGTCCAAGGTAGAAAGACAGGAAGAGCAGCAAGTGACAGCGTGACCAGGCCAAAGCACCTTTGCCGTCGCAGTCAGTGCTGGCACATCTGTACCCTCTCTGGTTCCTGCAACTCAGCTGCTTTGAGAGAATTGTTTAAGCCCCCTCTGCATCGACGGGTGATGATCTGGAAGTGAATGTGGTCCCGTTCTCTAGGCTGGCCAACAGAACGTGAAGTTCCTTAGGAAAGTCAGGACAGCGCTGGAAGCCCAGAGGTCACGGCTGAGTTGACTTACCCGTGTCTTTCAACTTGTTTTTGTTAACTCTCAGTGATCTGTAGACTAATAGCTAAATCAGTAATGGCGGTGGCAGGTTCTCTTCCCTCTAAATGTCTATGTTTAGTAACAACGTGCCTGGGGGTCAGTGAAACGCGAGCATGCTCTCAGGGGAAGGCGGGCAGCGTCAGGGCCGCGGGCAGCGGTGTTTCCTTGGTGCTGTCACCTGGAATTGCTGCCATTCATCAGCCTAATGATAGTTCCTGCCGCCTCCTCAGCCGGTTTGGGCGAGAGGGATTACTGTATCAGAATTCAGAGGAGCAAGGATGGATGGCCTGCTGTGAATTCTCCTTAAAGCGTCCCAAAGACACAGAGGGGCACTTTCCCAGGCGCTTTTAGATAGCAAATAAGGGTGGGAAGTATTGTTGTTATTAAGTGGCTGTTGTTTTTTTCTTGGTTAACATATTCTCTTCTCTGACATTAAATATTCCAATGTAATTTTTGACAAAACACTGCACCAGGCAATATTTAAAAAATGGAATGTAAAAGGAGAAAGATTCTGAAATGCATTGTACTGTGGAGATTGAAGGAAGGGAACTAAGCACTACAAATGCAATTTGAAGTTGTTTTAAGACAAATTTAACATTCAAAATGTTTACCTGGAGATATTTCCAAGTTGTGTGTGTGTATATATATGTGTGTATATATTTATGATCTCATCTCTCCCACAAAACATTGGACGTGGCTAGTAAGAATGTTTACAATAAAGTTTGGGCTGACAGATAAAATATAAGATGCCAAATGGACATAGTGACACTAAAAAAGATTCCTTGTTTACCTGAAATTCAAACTTAATTGGGTGCTCTTTTTTGTCAAGTCTGGAGATCCTATATAAAGGAGGAAACATGAGTACATCAATGAAGGTAGGATAGGGTGAGGTTTCAGTACAGATAGATATGAGGTCTAATATAATAGTGGAAGTTGAGCCATGGTCTTGGCCTTGAATCTTGATTGCTGGGGAGAAATGGACATATAATCTATTGCAAGATGTGCATCACCCAGAAAAGTGGGGTGTTTAGAGAGGAGACATTTACTTGGGGTAAGAAGCATGGTCTAGTTTGGGGGTCTGATACAACCACAGAATCCATTAAAAGGACCCTTTCTGATGGGGCAGGTGGTGTAATATCCACCTGTATTGAGCATGTAATGTAATGAACTAGACAGTTTTTCAAAGAGAAGTTTGTTTTTATTTTAAATTTAGATGAAATCCATTTTCCATTTTATACATTGTACTTTCTCACTTCTAGCTAAGAAATCATTCCCTCGCTCAAGGTCAAAAAGATTTTTTCCTGTGAGTTTTCTGAAAAGTTTTAGATTTTATATTTCATTCTAGCACCTTTTTTATTTTTTTATTTTTTAAAGAATCTCTGAGTACATGGAAAAACAGTGCTTTCTCTCCCACCTGTTTAGTTGATGATGATTTGGTCACAGACAAGTTCAAAGTGCTCCATTATATCTTCTAGGAAGTGCATTTTTCTAAGCAAGTTAATGCCGTGTTTCCCCGAAAATAAGACATCCTCCGAAAATAAGACCTAGCGCATGGAAAGATAAGACATGCCCTGAAAATAAGACCTAGCGCAACTTTGGGAGAAAAAATTAATATAAGACACTGTCTTATTTTCGGGGAAACAGGGTAGTAAGCAACATTGTAAGGGGCATGCCTCAGGAAATTCATAGTTTTCACACCCATCACACACCCATCACACCCACACACACACACACACACCCCTGTGTGAACCTAGGCATTAAATACACGCATGTAAAACTGGTGCTGCCCCTCTGATTGTTCAGGCTGTCTTTGCTATGCAGTAAAGGAAATTCTGCAGGACTTTCCTTGGATTTTGTGATGTGAGCTTGCTTTGAGTTCCAGTGTGTGTTTTGAAAATGATCCACTCAAAAATCCCCACACCATTCAACTAGTCAAATGTTGTGCTCGGACTGATGAAAAATTGCTTCCCCGGGAAGGCAAATTTTACTGTGGTTCTTGAAAGACACCAACACCCTCTTCGACGGAGCCTAAGTGTGCCTGTTCGTTCCTTTCCAGCTTCCTGCTGAGGATCCTGAAATTTTTGAAGTTTCGTCCAAGTGTCTGTCTATCCTGGTTCAGCTCTACGGAGGAGAAAACCCGGACAGCCTGTCTCCTGAGAACGCGGAGAGCTTTGCCGACTCACTGGCATCCAGGCAGGACCCCAAGGAGCAGAAGCTGCTGCTGCGGATTCTCAGGAGGATGGTGAGTCCGCTGGAGCTGGGCGCGGGCGGCCCGAGGGCCGGGAGCAGGCCTCATCTTGGACCTGTTTCAGCATAAGCTCCAGCCGCCTTTCCCCATAGTCACCTGAAGTTACTTACGCCGGATCCGATTCTGCCTGTCAGGATGTCTTTTCCGAACTGAGCGTTAGAGAGCATTGCGCCCCCTCGCCCCTTCATACAGCAGTGTGCATTTCCTAACAGAATCGGTGTTTCTCACTTACACATTGTCTTCAAATCGGGAAATTTAACTTGATGCCCTTGTTTTACCCCCCTGCCCTCTATATCGCGATTCTGTCAGCTGTGCCAATGCCCTCTGCAGCCTTATATTTTGGGCGGGACCCAGCCGGGAGCGCGTACTTTGGCAGACTTTAATCTGGAAAGACCTGTAACCGTTCTTCATCTTCATCACACCTTTGAAGACTGTGGGCTGGGTGTTTTGCGGAATCACCTTCAGGAAAACTCCTGAACGGATGTTGTCTTTCTCAGTTCAGCACCTCCAGAGGCTCCCGGTGCCTGTTCGATCGCTGCGTTAAGGCAGTGAATACTTAACCATTTTTAAATTCCTAGCAGCCGCACAGTGGAGGTTTCCGAACTCCCAGCGCTCTGAACCGGAAAGCTTTTCCCGCTGCCCCGTTTCTGTTCCGGCAGCTGATGCTGACTGGAAGGCACTGTTGGAGACGGACTGACTTTCTTTTCACAACAAATCTGACAGCTGGTTTTGGAGGCTGCTCTTTGCAGTGGCTTCTGTGGAAGTTTATGAAGGGCTGAGGGTCCTGCTGGTCTGGCTCATGTTCTGGTTGGTCGGTCTGTTGGCTTCTAGACGCAGGCATCTGAGGAGGCCTTTGGCCAGCGGAGCTAGGGATGAGCCAGGGGGTTGCACTCAGGATAACTTTGGTGCCAATTTGATAAATAGATGGCGGTGCATAAATAGGTGGTTAGACATTTCTCTCACAATCAGGGACTGCTGGTTTCTAACTGCTCACCTGCCTGCCTGATTGCCCCTAACTGCCCCCCTGCCAGCCTGGTCGCTCCCAACTGACCCCCCCCCCCCCCCCCGCCAACCTGGTCACCCCTTAGTGCCTCCCCCCCTGCCGGCCCAGCTCAGTTTACCTGGCGGGTTATGGGTGACAGGCTGGAAGTGAAACACAGAGATTTACCTCATCTCCCTCTCCCCCCCATTGCCCACAGCTACTTTATGCTTTTGTACAGCCAAGTCCCCCACCCCCACGAGACTTGCCATCTCTGCGAGCCATTCCCTAAGAAACAGAGTGATGACTGGTCTGGGGACTCTCAGGGTAAAACCCTCCTGGGGACAGTAGACAGGAGGTTGTGCACCAGCCTGGCCCTGGGGGACACCGAGTCACATGGGCAGGCAGGGGTTCCCTCTCCGTTTTCTTTGTCTCTCTGATGGTTTAGGTTGGAAATCTCAGTCTGGTACTCCTGTGCCTTTAACACCTCCGGGCTCCTTCAGAATCTCCTTTGCCACACAGGGTAGACCTCTCAGAAACTTGGGCTTTTACAGTGGAGATATTTCTTTAAAATTGGAATTGTATTCAAATAAACAAAGCTGAGTGAACGTGAGACAAGTACTAGGGAATGTAATAACAGGAGTGATGTCTGGATGTGGCAAAATGGTGGTTTTGGTAGAGAATGACCAGTGCTTGGGAAACGGTGATCTAAATCTGATACGATTAATTTCATAGAGACCCACCGCCTCTTCTCTGAAACGTTCAGGACCAGGTCTGTTAGGGAATTCATCATTTCCCATCGCTTTGGCATGGCACTGGTACTGTTCAGGTAGGAGAGAGGGGGCCGTGGTGTTGGCTACCAGGGGAACATCTCCGCAGCCAGATGTGTGCGTGTGCACAGCGAGGGGGGAATGCAGACTCCCTGTGGGCCGGTCAGGGCTCGGGTCAGATTCTGCCACCAAATATGTTCTTGATCCAAACTCAGGGAAGCAGGTTTGGTTTCAGAGCTCTTCAGGACTGCAGAGAGGCGGTGATGGGCCCGTCTTGGAAATAAATTACACCATTTTGTAAAATACCGGTCACATTAATCATGCAGCAAACCACTTAGACCCTGAGTTGGTCAGAGTAACCAGACTGCACCGCCTTTAATTTACTATTTTACTGCATGAAATAATCTCCTTCGAGTCTCTGACCTGCTGCACAAAGGACCAGGTAGATGGTGTTTGTGGGAGAAAAAGTGAATCTAAGTGGCTTTCTACCCATTTATGGGGAAACAAGTAATCTCTGGTGCTACTTACCTCTTTTAAAAAATTACGGCAAAATCCATATCAGATTTACCAACTTTACCATTTGTAATTGTACAGTCAGGAGCACTAAGTGCGACAGTCACATTGCTGTGCAATCGTAACCACCATCCATCTCCAGAGCCTCTTCCTCCCAGATGCAGCCCTACCCTCTCACCGTGACTGTCCCTCCCGACCCCAGTCCCCAGTAGCCACCATTCTCGAAATACCTGGTTTAAGGCCCAATTTTGTGAGTTTCTTTCTAAAACTGCAATTTTCACCAACAGATGAAAGACTGAGGAAGTTTACCCTGCGCTAATGGTGCTGCCCCCAGGGTGCTCTTTTTTCTTAGTCTGTAGTTAGAACATCCAGAGAGTTTAATTACCCATTGTCATTGCCAGGAAGCTGGGCGCTTCTATAATTATACTCTGCAGTTCCAGCTTTAACACCGTGATGGAAATCATCCTGCAAGGTGCTCCCCAATTTACCTCCCTCTGAACGCCCAATCCATGGGGGTGTTCCCCGAGCGATGATTGCAGATGAGCTGCTTGTCCTTTAATTAAAGCTGGCCACCTCCTGCTCTCCCTGTATCCACTGCGCGGAAACCACCGCCCGCCTCGTTCTGTGAAACTGGCCTCGGCGTGTACCCCCGCTCCTGTGAAGGCGGAGGGAGGCCCAGCCCACGGGAGGCGGTTGTAACTGATGTCCTGACTCCCACCTGCCCGCCCAGCTACCCGCGGGCGCAGGGGAGCACGCCGGGATCCCTCTGTGCAGCTGATTAGAACGAAAGGCTATTACAGACATCCAGCCCTCAGAGACCCTTTCCTGGTGGCTTTCCCCAAGTCTTACTGTGCTCACATCCCTTTTCCTCTAGGAGAACAGAGATGCTCTGTTGCTGGATTTCTTCATGTGAAGAAAAGCCTTTAGCTCGGCTAGTGTGGCTCAGTGGTTGAGCATCAGCCTATGAACCTGAAGGTCACAGTTCGATTCCCCGTCAGGGCAGATGTCCAGGTTGCCGGCCTGGTCCCCAGAAGGGGCCATGCAGGAGACAGCCGATCAGTGTTTCCCTCTCTCATCATTGATGTTTCTCTCTCTCTCTCCCATCCTCTCTGAAATAAAATGATATTTAAAAAAAGAAAGGAAACGCCTTTAGAGACCAGATGGGGTAAGGAGGAGTTCCGCAGCCATTCACATGAGAAACGGAACGAGTCTAGACTCAGAACGGAAGGGACTATTTCGATTAGAGAAGCAAGGACGTGTTCCCTGAGGGAACATAGGTAATATTATAGGTAAGATGATGCCTCTTTCTCTCCAGCGTATTTGCCTTGTGGTTTCAGTCCTTCTGTTCTTGATTATTTTCTTAACGGAAAAAAGTGGGGGGGGGGGGTGTGTGCGGGAGACTGGTGTGAAACCAGTGGCCTACAAAGGAAACCCTACGTACCCAAATGAGTGAAAAGTGAACACGATCCATTCCCGTGAATCCGGGCCCTCGTTCAGGTGCGCCTGCACCCCGAGAGGATGCTCCGAGTTCCTCTCCCGGGATCGGCCCCTGACTCACACGTCGTTCGTTCGTTACCCGGATAAGCCGTCTCTGCCAGCGATTGCCATGGGGCACGCTCACTGGGAACTCTGAATGATTTAGCTGTATCTTCCCAACAAAGAAAAGAAGTGCCCGCCTGCAGTTTCCACTCCATTCCCCGAGGAAACCTTCCTGAGGTTTTGAGCAAGATAGAACCCGGAGGCACAGGGCTGGGGAATGGAGCCGTCACGCTCAGGACTGAGGCTTGTGTGTGGCCGGAGTGAGACTCCGTCCTCGGGAGGCTGCGGGAGTGTGGGCAGCGTGGCCCCACGTTGGCACAGGACACGCAGGTGGCAGAGGAAGCTTCCTTCGTGTCCTCTGCGAAGGGGGCTCCCCATTGCCTCCTCGCGCCTGCTTCCTCCTCCCGTCCCCCATGGAAGCTCCTGGTGAGCAGGCCGGCACCCCCGCTTCCTCGCCCAGACCATGTTGGTGGCCCCCAGGCACCACTGCTTTCCTTCTGTTTTGACTTCTTTTCTCAAGAGATTCAGCCCCTCTACCCCTTCCTGAAACTCTCCTGTCAAAGAAAATCCACTCCCTGTCTTTTCTAACGAGCCTTCTCGTTCACGTGCCCACTGCCATTGATGACACTGTACCCACTTTTTATTGTGAAGTTTCAAAAACACGGAGAGGTTGAAAGAGTAGTTTGATGAACACCTGAGTAATCAAGAATAATCAGAATTGTTATCATTTTACCAATATTTATTCACGTGTCCATATAGTTTTGTCACACAAGGTGTTGTCACCGTGGTATTTTATTTCTATTTGTGTGTTTTTTTAGTTTTTAGATAGTTTAATTTTATTCTGTATTGAATTTGCTGGGGTGATAAAAATCGCATAGGTTTTGGGTATCTATGTGTTTTAAAAATCATGTGGAAATGCCCTAGCCAGTTTGGCTCAGTGGATGGAGCGTCGGCCTGCGGACTGAAGGGTCCCAGGTTCATGCCTCGGACCAAGGGCATGTACCTGGTTTCGGGCTTGATCCCCAGTGGGGTACGTGCAGGAGGCAGCCAATCAATGATTCTCTCTCATCATTGATGTTTCTGTCTCTCCCTTTTCCTTCCTCTCTGAAATCAATAAAAATATATATATATTTTTAAAAACCCACGTGGAAGTTAAGGCATTGTGACACTTGGCCTCTAACTAAGATAACATT